AGGGTACCAATTGTGTGAGATTTTCCTGTTGTATTCCCAGAGGAGTTGGCTGGGGTGCCTCCCGAGAGGCAAGTGGAGCTCTTTATCGATTTAGTGCATGGTGCGGCTCTGATAGCCAATGCGCGGTATCGTCTAGCTCCGCCTGAGATGCAGGAGTTGTCTATGCAGCTTCATGAGCTGCTTGACCGGGGGTTCATTCGTCCGAGTAGTTCCCCATGGGGAGCACCGATCCTGTTCGTGAAAAAGAAGGATGCGTCGCACAGGATGTGTATTGATTATCGGGAGCTGAACAAGCTAACGGTGAAGAACCGTTATCTGCTCCTGAGGATTGATGATTTGTTCAATCAGCTTTAGGGTGCATCGTGGTTTTTCAAGATTGATCTTCGGTCGGGGTATCATCAGATGAGGATCCGAGATGAAGACATACTGAAGACGGCATTCAGAACTCGTTATGGTCATTACCAGTTTATGGTGATGCCATTTGGGCTCACTAATGCTCCAACAACGTTCATGGATCTCATGAACCGGGTTTGCAGATCGATGCTGGATCGGTCTGTGATTGTTTTCATTGATGATATTCTGGTCTATTTTAAGACCAAGGTGCAGCACGAGCAACATTTGGGAGAGGTGTTAGAGACCTTAAGGAGGGAGAGGCTTTATGCTAAATTCTCTAAATGCGAGTTTTAGTTGCATGAGGTGCAGTTTCTGGGGCACATCATCAATCAAGAGGGTATTTTGGTAGATCCCACCAAGATTGAGGCGGTAATGCGTTGGGAGGTTCCGAAAAACGCATCCGAAATCAGGAGTTTCTTGGGATTAGCGGGGTATTATCGGAGATTCATCCAGGATTTCTCCAAAATTGTTGTACCCTTGACCCGTTTGACTAAGAAGAGTGTGACCTTTCGGTGGGGTCAAGATCAGCAGTCGGCTTTCCAGACATTGAGGCAGAAATTATGCGAGGCTCCGATTCTAGCTCTACCCGAGGGATTGGATGATTTTGTGGTGTATTGTGACGCTTCAGGGGCTAGTACGTTAAGCGTACTAGAGTGGTACGCAGGGCATACGCACTCATTTGGGTTTGGGCTTTGTTTGGGCTTGTTAGCTGATTGGGCCTTATTCTGTTTTGGGCCTGATTCTATTTAGAGTTTTGGGTTGATATTCTGTTTTAGGTCATAGTTGTTTTGGTTGGGCCTTATTGGGCCAAGCGGCCCATTAATGGTCTTTATCATGGGCCTTAGGTCCATTAGCAAAGGGGAGACTTTTGGGCCATTATGGAAGGACTTAGACTTAGTATTTAGACTCTTTAATCAGGTTGTGTATAATCCTAATTTAGGTTTAATTGTATTATTGTTCAGCGTGTGGTTTAAGACTGTTAGGCGAGCAGCTTTTGTGTTCAGCAGATTGGGGTGAGTCTTCTCACAACACTCATGGGTCGAAGGCACCAAGGCCGACCCATTAATTGATATGTATGAGATGATTAGTAATGGAGTATGTGATTGTGGCTATTTGATCTATATGTGGATTTATGTGAAGACCATGGGAGGAGCCCATGGCACATGATAAGACCATGGGAGGAGCCTATGGCTCGGGGATATAAGACCATGAGGGTAGCCCATGACATTCCAATGAAGACCATGGAGGAGTCCATGGCAAACTTATATGTATATTTGTGTGCATGGTATTATGTGATTATATGATTGAAGTGTTTGGGAAACTCACTAAGCTTGTGCTTACAAATTTATTGAATTTTTCAGGTACCTCTATTGATAAGGGCAAGGGCTCGACTTGATGGCACGACGTGCATTCTCCAGTGTTTTCACATTTGGTTTTCATACTTTGAATTTTAAGATAATATGGATATGTAATGGGATTTTTGGACACATTGTGGTTGGTATTTATGAAATTAAAAGTTAAAAATTTTCTGTAAAAATCTAGGCTATTATATGTTTACATAATATTTTTTCTATAATATGGTTAATAAATGGTAAAGTAAAGTGGTCGTTTGAAATGGTTGTACTCAATTTGCGATAATCAGTACAAAATCGCCATTTGATTACCAGACAAGTGATAATTTTTTCACAACTTGATGTCCTTATGATTGTGATGTCGACATTCTTTGGAATGGTATGTGGTACACTAACACAAATATTGTCAGAAATTAGGTATATAGTTTCAACATCTAACCACTTTAACACTTCTTTCTTCACATCTTCATGCATATTAGGATTCGATCTTCTTCGCATCTCTCATGATAACTTTGTGAATGGCTCGATAATGATCTTATGCATGAAAACTGACAAGCTTATTCATTTGAGATCAATAGTCTTCTATTCAAATACGAATTTTTATATGTCAAACACCTTCATTAATGTTTTTTTCCTTATTCAAATCTAATGTAGTTATTACCGGAAGTGTTTGGTCTTGGCCTAAAACGAGATACTTTTAAGTGAGTCTGTAGAGTCTTTAATTTGAGAAATGAAGTCTTTTCCAAGAAGGAATTTATCTTTGACATGATCAAATCTGGGAGATAATCAAAATTATTTATTCAAGTTGACGCATGACCATGCATAGCATTTAAGAACTCTCTTCGATCTTCAATTGCTTCAAACCTATATATCACTATCACAAAAAAAGCATTCCCTATATAGTTGGCTATATCGAAGAGCATATTTGTAGTATGATCGTGAACACAATAGCCAATGATATAAATCACAAAACTTGCGTATGTCAAAAGGTATGGAGTCTCAATTTGCAATTGTTAAATGTTATAATGATCACACCATCTCGACAATTAATTTGGGCATTAGTAATTGCCAAAAAAGAACAAGTATGATTTATGGTTGTTTATCCTTGTATTGTTTAGCATAATCCATGATTCTAAAATCAACCGTGTAATAGAAATATTTCATCTTGAAAATGACAGTAAGTAAAAATGTCTCTATCAGTAGTTTAAGTGAAAAACTGGTCACTGAAACTGTGGTGTCGATTGCTTGCAATGGGCCGAGGTTATATTAATCATATCAAATTCTAGGGAGGGCATTGATACTTGATCCAAGACCACGAAACATCCTATGTATATTAATGTTTCCAACTTCAGTTGCAATCAAGGGTGTTGAGAGATCTTTTAGATATAGTGGAAGTCTTTATGTTAAATAGGATTGTTCATTAAAACCAAATTAGATAATTAGACAATTTGGATTGGACTATTTAGTTTGGATATTCAGATTTTTTGATTGATTTTCAACCAAACCAACTTATTATTTTGGATTTTGGATTGATTTTGGTTTACAAAATAAAAGCCGAATAGTAAAAAAAAAACGAATAGCAATTTATTATTTATTTATTTTTAATATATATCTATAATTATTTATAAACTTATTTTTTTTAAATTGCTTTAAAAAGTTTCACCTAACAAAAAACATTAAGATGCATCTTCTCTAAAAAAAATTATCTATAAATATTAAACTATAATATATATATTTTTAATAGTTTATAAATTTTAAACCACAAATAAATAATTTTTTTTTGTTTCTTCTATAAATTTGACTAATACTATTATTATATGTGGTTTTAAAATGTTTCGGTTTTTTGAAAACCAAATTATAAAAACGATCAAACCAAATTGTAATTTGGTTGGATCGTATTGGATTTGAATTTAATTTGTACTATTCAGATCCATGTTTTTAAAACCGAAATCAATTTATATTCGTTTGATTGGATCGGATCGAACCGATCCATCCAAACGAACACCCCTAACAGTACATATCAGATAGATTTCAGACTTCTCTAAATCTTACGATCTTCAACAACTCATCAGAGGGATCAATCACTGGTGCAATAGCGTATTCATTTCGATGGCTGATAATAACTGGACGAAAGTCAATCACAGGAACGTGCATGAAAAACGTAGGTTCAACACATTAGTCAAGATTCACGAACCAGTCAAGCAAGGTCAGACATAACCTCCATTTTTATCACCAATTTTCCTGATTCTGTTCAAGTTGGAGACATATGGCGGGTATGTGGTCGAGCCTGTAATCGATTTGGAAGGATTGTAGACGTGTTTATTGCAAAAAAAACTATCAAGATTGGGGAAACGGTTTGGTTTCATTAGGTCTTCAAATGTGGGCAATTGTGATTACCTGATTAAAGTTCTTTGTGATGTTTGGTTTGGCTCATATAAAATGTTCGCGTCCCTTCCACGTTCCTCGAAAAACACTATTCGTAAACCCCACACTGTTGTTAATTCCATAGTGGTTCATAGAGACACGACTGTTAAGTCCTACGCAAATGTGGTACGAGGCTCATCCAATAACATCACCAACATCAAAAAATTAGGAGATATTATTGAACTCACTCCCGTAGATTTCATTGTAGAAAGAAAACAAATGGCCTGCCTTGTTAAGGCAATAGACTTCTCTACCCTTCCCAACCTTCGGGTGCTTTGTTTGGATGAAGGCTTTGACAACTTTGAAATAAGATACGTTGGTGGCTTGTGGGTGTTGATTGAATTTACTTCTACTAATGCATGTAATAACTTTATGGAAAGTAATGCAATGGATCATTAGATATTAGAAAAGAAAGCATGGGATAGATACTTTGTTCCTTCGGAACGGATAGTATGGGTTGATGTTGAAGGACTACCCTTTTCTGCTTGGAGTAAAGAATCTTTTAGAAAAATCCTTTCTAAGTGGGGAACAATCGCTCAGTTAGATGATAATCTCGGTGAAGACATATACAAGAATAGAATTTGTATCTTGTCATCTTTTCAAAGCATTATCTCATAGGTGATCAAAGTTCGTGTTGAGGGGTCTACATATTGGATTAGAGTTAAAGAGGCTCCGGGGTGGACACCCTCCTTTGTCTATGACCTTCCTGCCCCTGACATGACTGAAAGTTAAATACAAGACCAGAATCATAATGAAGGACATTCTCATTACTCTGATGGGAATAAGGATGTTACATCGGACCCATTTGGTATTTATGATGTAATTGAAAAAATGAAAACGGATGAGTTGAACAATGATATTCCTAAAGGATTCAATAGCTGGGGTAATGGCAAAAAGAATAAAGATATTAAAGATGGTCTCCGGGGGCAAAATGGGAACTCAGCAACAAAAAAGTTCTTTTATTCTGCTCCACATAATCAGAGATCTGACGGAAATACCCCTGCTGCCTCACACTCATACTCTTCAACTAATCTAGGAGAGGCCGTCAAAAATCCGGCTACTGCTGCCACTATTCACACTGTTGTCACTGTTCCAGGTGCTGAGGAAGGTGAACCGCAAGCAGCAGCCCTTGCTGCTGCAGTCATTTCGCAAGCAGCCCCTGCTGCGCCAGTCAATTCGACAGCAACACCTGCTGTTTATTCTGAGACTCCTTCCTTCAGCATATGTTGTTGATACAGAAGCTTCTAAAAATTCTGCTCCAGTTGGTTTTTCAGGTGGCTATATTCGTATGGAGGGCATTCAATCTTCGGACAACTCTTTATCTCACCCACCTGGTTTCTCTAGTAAAATTTATGGAGAGAATGGAATGTTCTTTGAAGGTTCAATCAACAATGAATCTAATGAGATTGAATCCAATAAAACAATTTAAATGGGAGAGGTCATTGGTTTCAACATGAAGGCTTGTGTTGAACAAGTTAAAAATATTGTTCAAGGGGAGCGTTCAAAAGAATTTCAATTATGAACTGTTAATCTATCAATATCCAAGGAGCGGGTTCTTTAGACAAACGGGTTTGGATAATATCTCTTTGTGCTAAATTCAAGATTAATTTTTTGGCTATTCAAGAAACAAAAAAGGAGCTTATTGATCTTTTCATTGTTCGTTCTTTTTGGGGTAATCTCGCGTTCTCTTATGCTTTTTCTCCCTCTCGCGGTGCTTCGGGTGGCATTATGGTCATTTGGGACCCAAACATTTTTATCCATAATAAAGTGATCATCTCTGATTGGTATGTGGCGGTGGAGGGTGTTTGGGCTATCTTTGGAATGGATGTTTTGATGATTTCCGTTTATGCTCCTCAAAGAGATGACTCCAAAAGACAACTTTGGGATGAAGTATCCAGCATGATCGCTTCTTTTTCGGGGGACTGTGTGGTTATGGGAGATTTCAATGAAGCTAGAGACGAGTCTGAAAGACTTGGTTCTCAGTTCCATCATATTCCAGCTAGATCCTTTAATCAGTTTATTGTTCAGGCTGAGTTACTTGATATTCCTATGGGTGACCCTCGTTATACTTGGAGTGACAGATGGGGATCCAAATTTTCTAAACATGATCGTTTTCTGGTCTCTGGTCTCTGAAGGTCTTCTGGTTCACTTTCCTCATCTTACGGGTTTTGTCCTAGACAAAAATATCCCAGACCATCGCCCTATTATTTTATTGGAACATCGTGTGGATTATGGGCCGTCTCCTTTTCGTTTATTTCATTCCTGGTTCGAGCTGGAAGGTTTTGATGATGTGGTTCATGATTCTAGGAACTCTACCATTAATGGGAATATGATCGATAATCCTTGGGTTATTTTTAAGAAGAAACTTCAACTTCTTAAGTCTAACCTAAGATTATGGAATTCTAGTACTCGTGATCGTTTGATTAGTAAAAGGAAAATGCTTCAAGATAAGGTTGAATCGATTGATTCTTCTCTTATGATTGATGGGGGTAGTGCTGATCTTCGTGAACAAAGAGTCTCAGCCATTAAAGATTTGACATATTTAGAGCATCTTTCTAGAGCTGACCTAACTTAGAAAGTGAAAGTTCAGTGGGCCATTGTAGGGGATGAGAATTCTAGGTTTTTCCATGGTGTTATTAACCAGAAGAGACGTCAGAGTGCTATCAGAGGTGTCATGATAGATGGTATTTGGGTTGATGATCCCGGGAGAGTCAAGAAGGAGTTCCAATTTTATTATCAAAATCTTTTCATGAAGAAAAGAGGAAGTCGCCCCTCTACTAATCCTAATCTATTTCACTCTCTCACGGAGGATCAAGTTCTTTTTCTTCAGGCTCCTTTCTATCGTGAAGAAATAAAAAGGGTTGTTTGGGATTGTGGTTCTGATAGAGGTCCTAGGCCGGATGGATTCTCTTTTGGTTTCCTTAAGAGATTTTGGGATCTTATTTCCGATGATTTGGTGGCTTTTATTCAACATTTTCATGGTCACTGCTCGATTCCAAAAGGTTGTAATGCTTCTTTCTTTACGGTTATCCCCAAGGTTCGAGACCCTAAGATCATCAAAGATTTTAGACCTATTAGTCTAATAGGCTGCCAATACAAAATTATTGGTAAACTATTAGCTAATAGGTTGGCTGAGGTCATCTGTTCTGTTGTTAGTCTGGAGCAATCTGCTTTTGTTAAAGGTAGACAAATTTTAGATGGGTGTTTCTTCTTAATGAGTTGGTTGCCTGGAGTAAGGCTTCGAACCATCCACTTATGATCTTTAAAGTGGATTTTGAGAAGGCTTTTGATTCTGTTTCGTGGGAGTACCTTTTGGAGATTATGCAGATTATGGGCTTTGGTAACTTGTGGTGTGGTTGGATTATGGAGCTTCTTAGATCTTCCAGGGCTTCTGTTCTTGTCAATGGCTCTCCGTCTGATGAATTTCAACTCCAATGTGGCTTGAGACAAGGTGATCCTTTGTCCCCCTTCTTGTTTATTTTGGTGATGGAAGGGCTCCATGTTACTTTGCTTAAAGCTCATACTGCAAATGTGTTACGAGGCATTTCTATTAGTGGGATTGATATTTCTCACTTGTTTTATGCCGATGATGCTATCATTATGTCTTCATGGGACCCCGTTAATGTTTCCCGTATCATTCGTATCCTGTGATGTTTTTACTTAGCCTCGGGTCTCAAGATCAATTTGCAAAAAAGTAAGTTGATTGGAGTGGGAATTCCTTATGCTCAAGTTGAGGCGGCGGCTAGTAAGGCTGGTTGTGCTCCTGATTCGTGTCCTTTTTTTTCACCTTGGAGTCCCGGTTGGTCAGAATATGACTTTGATTTCTTCTTGGTCTTCTGTTGTTGATCGTTTTCGCTCTAAACTTTCGGGTTGGAAAGCGAAAAGCCTTTCGTCTGGAGGTCGTCTTTCTTTGATCAAGTCTGTTCTTGGAAGACTCGGCAGTTACCTAATGTCTATCTTCATGGTGCCGATCTCAGTTGTTAACACCTTAGAGTCTCTTCGGGCCAGGTTTTTTTGGGGTGCTGACTTAGATGAGAGATGCATGCATTGGGTTCGGTGGGATAGAGTTTTAGCTCGGAAAAAGGAGGGGGGGGGGGGCTCGGTATTGGCAGTTTGTTTTCCTTCAATCGGGCTTTACTTTTCAGATGGTGCTGGAGATTTTTTCATAATCCGGATCTGATTTGGGCTAAGGTTGTCAAAGCTATTGTGACATTCCCATTTTCACGGCCAGAAAAGACCGATTTTGTTTATGCTTTATAAAAATCAGAGTACTTCTTTTAATAAAAATGTTGCGGAATTTGTTCCCAGAAAAACATGATAAATACGTTATCAAAGCATTTTCGAAGAAATGTATTTCATTCATTTTCAAAACATTGGGATGTCATCGTCAATACAGAAACATAAGCATAAACAGAACTTACATTCATTTACACTAGTGATCTACATCTCTTTTAAATCTCTCAGTTTAAAGTAGCTTCATATCGACACCTGTGATACAAATAAGCTTGAGTGGGTCAGGTTGGGAAACCTGGTGAGTACATAGGGTTTTCAACCCACAATAATATAATTATTATGTTTAAACAATCAAACAATCAACCCAATTACCCATCCCCGTTATCTTCTTTAATATTCCTTAAAGAATTATCTTAAGGGTCATCTCCTATATCATATTTACCTCTCATCTTTTTACCTCACATTTCCTTATATGCTCGTTCCTAAGGCATGAACGTAGTTACAACGTCGCCTGAACTCGTAATTCATAGTAAGGGTTAGAGTATCATCACATGAATATACAGTCACAACATCACCTGGACTCGTAATTCATCACCTACAGGTTATAAGTATGCTGGTGTTTCCACGGGTTGTCTAGAATAGTCCGTGGTCGCCATCTATACTCTAGTAGATGACTACATCTCCAAATTGTCGGACAAGGTTATAGTATATTTCATCCTACATCACCGATTCATCATCACCTATCCATCACCTAATTATCATCACCTTCCTATCATCACCTATCTCTCATCATTTTATTTCATCACACACCAACTATTTCATCTACCCATGTTTTATCCCAACATATTTGTAGATATAAAATAAATATATATTTAAATCATTTAAAACATGTATAAAATCATTCATCCATCATAGACAGCAAGTATTCATATAATATGCACACATAGCACGTAATTTATATAAAATACTTCATATCTATGTGTAAGATGAAAGGGACCATGCACTCACTTGAAAAGGTGGTGAATCCGAACTCAGACAGCGCTTCGCTTCTAAAAAAATAATTTCCTTCGACGAAACCTAGTATTATTACCACTAGAGTTTAGTCTATAATTCGTCGAGACTAATTAATAGTCTAGCTATTATTACTATTATATAAGCGTTAAAAAAAATACTTATATAACCCATAATAATAGCCCAAGTACTTATTATAAGTTCCTAATAACGCTACTATAATTAAATAAACGATATATTAAAAATAGCGTAGGCGTAGCTCACTTACAACGGGTTTTATAGAAAATCGGGCTTTGCTTGGAGCAGCGTTCCCGAGCCGAAAAGCTCTTCTTCTTGGAGCCGTCGAGCACTCCGGGGCTTCCGCCTCGTGCTAGGGAGGTTCCCTAGGCTTTTCGGGGGGTTTCGGGGCTAGAGAGAGGTTCTAGAGAGAGAGAGTAAAGAGAAGAAAGAATGGGAAAGGTGTGAAGAAAATGAGGGTGGGAGAGGTTCTATTTATAGGGTGAAAAATGGCTGAAATTGGTGCCACATGTCACCATCTAGTGGCAAGACTTGGGGAGAAAGCAATAGCCAAGATTGTGCCACATCACCCATTTTCGCACAGCACACTTCCGACTTCTAAAATCCGTAACTTTCACATACGACCTCTGTTTTTGACGTTCTTTATATCCACGCGTAGGTAAAAATAAGATCTACAACTTTCATTTAGACTCCATTGGCTAATTCTCGACCGATCTTAAATTTAACAGTAGAAGGAGATTAGACTGTTAAATGACCGCGGAAAATTCGTATCTCCTTCATACGGACTCCGTTTTCGTCTGTCTTTTTACCGTTGAGTTCCTATTAATGAGATCTTCAACTCTCATTAAGGTTACGTAAGCCAAAAACCGCTCGAACTAAAATTCGAGTTTCGGGCCGTGCACTGCTATACCAAATATTAGAAAATTAATAACTTCCTCATACGAAGTCAGATTTGGGCGTTCTTTTTTTGT